GAAAGTTAGGAAATGGTACTGTTTGGGGTCTGAGTTCAGTTTTGGTCATGATGAGTTTAAGATGGCTACAGGACATCTGATTCATTATGTCTATTAGGCAGTTGGAGATGCAGGACTGGAGATCTGTGGAGCAAGTCAGCATCTATAAAGCAATTTGCAAACCTTAGAACTGGATAATTAGATCTGAAAATAACCGTCACTGAGATGATAATGGAATCCATGGAATCTGATGAGATCACCAAATGAAATAGTGTAGAAAATGGAAGAAGAGAAGAGGGCCCAAGACATTAAGACCTGGATGAAAATACAGTGATGGAGACTTAGAAGGTGACTACAGGTAGGAGGAGAATGAGGATAGAGTCATGTTATGAAAACCTAGAGACAAGAAAATACCAAGGAAAAGAGGATGCTTGACAGTTTTAAAGGCTGCAGATAGGTCAAAACAGATGAGGATTGAGGAAAGACCATTAGATTTAGCAATTGTTCTATTTCTTTTTTAAGATGAATGCCATACTCAGTTTTTCAGTAGATAGTTGGTGAGTTTGAGGCTAGGCAAAACCATAATATCCCAGCAGGTGTGATATTGGTAGTTCTTCTTTGTTCTGTTGTATCTTGCCTTCTTGTGGTACTTTTCTTCTGTCTTCTGTGTCAAGTCGTTCATTAAGATGGTTTTGAATAGACCTAAACTGCAACCCTCTACATTTTATGTTCCTTAGATTCCTCATAGCATTTTTATCACTTTGATCCAAGTGCTAACTCAATCAGTGGTGTCTTCCAGAGCACAGCTGACTAACATTTTGTTGTTCTGCTCGGCCTTCACAGCAACTATAGTGGTCTCAAGACACATAGCGTTGCTCCTGTACATCAGTTGTCTTGACTGGCATTCCCTCATGTCACTGATGCCCTTCAATACTACCTTCCTTCCTGCCCCCCGATATAGAAAGGCTTTCGAGGATTATTAATTATGGTTGTCATTTTGCCAGTGAATAAGTAATAGTGTAACACAATCAGCAAGCATTTGTTTAGTGCCTACTCTGTGCTAGGCAAGGTTCTGTATCCTTAAATAATACTGGAAATGAAATTCTAGAGTTCAGTTTTAAAGTTTAATGATTCATGTAAAATAGTGTCTGCTCTGAATCCCATTTTGTAATTAAATTTATTTGTAGGCTACTGCTTTCTACAGTTACAGGAAGCATTACTTTGGTAGTGATTCTTGGATAAGTAGATGAAATACTCTGTAGTACGATATAAGTAAATCTCAAACTAAGGACAGTGCTGTACAAATTTGTTTCATGATTAAATGAGGCAGCTAGGTAACACCTCAGTTCGAAATCTGACTCTGACAGACTCTTAGTAAATGTGTGATACTATGCAAGTTACTTAACCTTTATGTGCCTCAGTTTCTTCATCTGTAAAATGGAGATGAGAATACATCTCTCTCACAAAGTTTCTGTTCCTGTTTTGAGGCTCAAATGAGTTAATATAAAGGCTTTACAAACCTTAAAAGGCTATATAAATGCTAAGCTGTTCTGATAAATTGGTGGTGGAGTAATATCAGAGCGTGTAGCTAGAGGGGGAAATTACTCTTTTATTTCTCAATTGAAAATGATTTAGGTGTTCTTTTGTGTAGATTCAGGGAGTTAGTAAGTTACTGGTGTCAAAGAACTAGTTCATGTCCTACTAAGCCTCTCATTCCATGTTCTCTGTGTAGTGGAAACAGCACTAAATTTGGATCCAGGGACCTGGCTTCATATATGACAGTGTGACTTCTTAGACGTCTTACTGCCTATGAGACCATGGGCGAGTCACCTGATCGCTTGGGGACTCAGTTTCCTCATCATAAGATGAGAGAATTGGACTTAATGACATCTAAGGTCCCTTCCAACTCTGAATCTTCTGTCCTAAGTACGACTAGGGTCATTTTGAGTATATTTTTCCATGAATACAGTGTTCTGTTTGTTAGGTGCATTTGAAATAGTTCTGTCAGTTCTGTCTTTCAGTAATGCCATGAGTTAAATGTTTTTTTTTGCATTGTGATTGTGGTGGTGGTTGTTGTTGCCTCCCTTCTTTAGATCCCCAGTGCTTGTCACTATTCCTAACACATAGTTAAGTGCTTAATAAATGCTTATTGATTGACTGATTTGCTTGGGACCTGATAGCCATGGATAATATTTTTCCATGGGAAAATACATTCTGAGTTCCAGACAACTTATTTACCAGCGAACCTTTGGAACAGAACCTACTTGTACAGAACACACCTTGCTAGTTTATTTTGACATGCTGTTTTCATGTGGAGAGACACAATTTGTTTTATAATAAGCATTCTTAGTTATTAGGCTTTGCTCCTGAGGCCGTTATTGCAGTTTATTTTTGATTGGCAAAAATCTGAGGGTATTTCTTCTGATTACGTGTTTTTATATTTATTAGCCAATTAGAAAACTGTCCCACTTCAGTGATCTATTCCTACATCTCCTCACTATTACAATATTTGATTTCTTTATGGTGGCATCCATTTTACATTGGCTTAGCCTCTTTTTTATATGTAATGGAATAAACATATCTTGTCCATTTCAGTTTTTTCAGAGCCTTTTTAATCAGGGTACTTCAGATGGTATTGCCACTTCTGTAGTAACTCTTGAAAGAAAATATTAATTATATAAAGGTACTAGGCTTCTAAGTAATTGAATGACTTTTGGTATCTTTTATTTTAGTAGCCACAATCATATTTTTCCACATATTTTTAAGTACTCGTCCTTTTTTTTGTTGTTGTTGAAGTCCCCAAAGATCAAGGCATACCTGTCATAATTTGTGCAGTCTTGTCAAGTTCTTCATAAAACTTTTCCCTTTCTCCATCCTCTGTGACTAAGCTGTAATTATCTTCATGGTGGTCTACTTGTTCATCATGAGCACCGCAAGGTAAAATGACTGTGTTCCTAACGTGTAAATCAGGGGCTGATGTAAAAGAGCAGCTGCTAGGGTGTGCCCTAGGGTCCGTACAACTCAGTCTTGTTATTCTCGATTGCTCGTATTCAGTTATTCTGTTATTCTGAAGGCTGACCATGAAGTACTGAAAGATCCTGAATTGTTCAAGCTCATAGTTTGCTCTATTTTGTTTGCTAATGCAAGAGAGTGTATGGACAGGTTAACTCTCAATTATTCACAAGACTAAAATGCTGAACAAATCTATCCCTCAAGCATTCTAGTTAATTTAGTTCCTACTAAAACCCCTCTATAAGTCCACACATAGTGGAAAGTTTGTAATGAGAAGTTAATAAAATGAAGGCTATGAGATAAAAATACCAACTATTAGATAAAATGATACAATAGTAGTCTCTCTTAGTCATATAGTAATTAGATTAATGGTACTATTTCTAACTATATAAAATAATTTCTCAAATTTTTTTTCCTGTTTTTTTAAGTTGGGGTTTTGTAAAATTAAATAAACCTTATTTGAGTCCATTGTAATCTTTTAAACTAACTTTATCATATCCTGAGGGAATTTGGTAGACTATCTGAAATGGCATCAAATGTTATAAGGCCTTCTTCTTTTCTCTCCTCCACTTCCCAAACCCCAGTCTAATCGCGCCTGGGAAGAACAAATGTTGTGGATTGTTTCAGAGATGTAGCCATAACTGTTATTGTGGAGTTGCTGCTGTTTACTTTCTAGCTATGGGAGCTCAGTTTGTTGTAATGGGTATTCAGGTGGTGGCCAGAGGACTGACCAAATTTAGGACATCATGGACTGAGAGTCCATGCAAATCCAGAGGATTAAGTGATGATCAAGAGTTCATTATTCTAGAGCTTAGTATGCGAAGACACAAGTCGCAAGTATAGTCCAAAACTAATAGATAAATCGACAAAGGAAAAAGACAATCAGGACATGAATGCTATTAGTAGAAGGTCCAAACCAAGGCCCAAGATCCAGAGTATCTATCCAAGTAGGGCAGAGTAAAAGTAGCAGAGTCCAAGCACTGGGGATGGAGGCTTGTGGTAGCTAAGGAGAGAGGAAAGGAGCTGTGGGAGGACAGTATCCTATTGTGGTGTCAACTCTGAGGGACACTTGGTTTTGGCAGGCTCTTGGTTACCTTTTGCTTTTATTTTTCTTTTTTTCTGATGGACTGATCCTCCTGTTTCCCTTTCCATTGTCAATTCTAATGTTGCTTCTGACCAGATGGACTTATTCATAGCCCTTTAAGTTTTGTGATTTTTTAAAACTTACTGTTAGTAATCAAAGCTAAAATGGAGAACAATTAAATTCTCCTTTTTATATGTTCTCCATCCTCACCGTTTTCCTCCCCCTCCTCCCCCCACATCCTCTTCAAACATCTCTAAATGTTTGAAGTCTTTATTCAAAGTAGACTGGAGTAATATATTCATCAGTGTTTTAGGAGAAAACTAGATTTGGACTGGACTGGATAAGCTATCCCAGAACCTGAGGTAATGGTTCTGGGGAAAGGAACAGAATATGGCCTTGGTGTTGGGAGAGAAATGGTCCAGAGATCAGGAAACCTTCAAAGGAGATTAGTGCTAGGACTAGGAGAGCCAGTAGTGGAGAAGTAGGAAGATCTTCAGCATTTCCCCATCCATTCCTCCTGACTCTCCATCCTAATCTGCCATTGCTAGTCCCATCATAGAAGCCTTTGCCCTGGGCCCTACCTGAGGTAAGCGTAGATAAATGAGGAGCAGTGGTATTGGTTCTAGGTAATATCTAGCCAAAGCAAAGGACAGGAGGGGAGTCCCAGATGGTGGCATTAGGAAGGAAATGATGCTTCCTGAGCATCCAATGGTCTTGCAGGGATGTATGTCAGTCAGCCATTGTGCTTTAGACCTTATGTTGCTTGAAATGCAGTGCATTGATGAATTATCTTGCTTTGTTAACATAAGTCCATGTTTAATGGAGTTTTTTAATTTCTGATAAACTGTAATTAAGAACCAAGGAACTATTTTTTCTCTTGGTTAAAAGACAGACTGATTTGTTTTATATTACATGTTTTCTGTAGGTCAAGGTCAAGGCCTCGTCCTCGTTCCCATAGTCGAAGTAGTGAAAGATCTAGCCACAGAAGAACGCGTAGCCGATCTCGTGAAAGAGACCGTCGTAAAGGCCGAGAAAAAGAGAAGAGAGAGAAGGAGAGAGAGAGAGGGAAGGAGAAGGAATTACATAGCACCAAGCGCGGGTGAGTGAAAATGGATCTGAAGCCAGAGTGGTTCAAGCAGCATGTAATTGAGTGCCTTTCTCAGGCTCTCATGGAGCCTCCCTTTTCCGCCTTAGTTTTTGGAGCATTTGATAGTGCAAGGAACGGTGAGAACAGATAAGCCTACCAGACCCTTCCTGGGTCTTATTTGACCGCTCCTGGTTAATTTGCCTATGCACAAGCTATCTAAAGGATTCTTTGTAAGATATCCTGACCAGGTGTTAAAAATTTTGTTTCAGTTTGTAACGAAAAACTATGGACATGGACTTTCCAAAATATTTGAATTGTGAATACTTGGAACTTAAGTAACTGAGAAATTCTTGCAAATCCTTGGAATACTATCGTATATACTTGCTTTTTCATGCATATAATTTGGAAATATAAAACAAATTTTAAATTATTTGAATTTTCATTATTGTGGAAGGAGAGCAGCTTGGCCTAGTGGATAGATAGCAGACCTTGAAACTTCCTACTTCAAGTCCTCCCTCTGACACAGAGTAGCTGTGTGACCCTAGGCAAGTCCCTTAACCTCTGTGCCCTAGGAAACTTTCTAAGTTGCAGAGAAGTTGTATTGCTAGAGGAAATTTCCTTCTCTGGGAGTTCCCTGTACAGGTGAAATCACAAATCCCAATTGCTGTCCTTGTTGGAAAATAGTTACAAGGAAAGGATAAAGGGGACAGAGAGGGAACTTTGTAACAGACTTTTATTTAGGAAAATCATATCTTAGAAATCTTACCTTAAAAAACTATTTTTGCTTGTTGTTGCCTACTCTATTTCTTATAAGATGCATAAGTTTACTGTAGCAACAGTTCCAGGGTCTGGGAAACTAGAGATTGAAACCTATTTCTTATCATCTATTTAAAATGAGAAGACTTTTACATCAAAAGTAAGTTTCCCCCTGTAGAAGATGAATTTCTAGCTCATTTTTCTCATTTTGTACTCAGCAGTTGAACGATGAGTCTTTCTGTCAGATATACCCAGTGTTATGAGCATGATCTCCTTTTGTCTTCTTCTGTTTCTTTACCCCCGTGTGAATGTACTTATCTATTTCAATATAAAATAATTTTATTATCTCAGCCTTCATTGTTCAATTGAAGAATTTAATCAGTGCATTGAAAACATTCCCTTAAGGTCTTCTTACATCTTGACTGCTAACTTAAGGGTCAAATGTATCACAGAATGTGAGAATATTTTTTTTTCTAAATTCCCTTCTTATTCATGAAGCCCTTATGACCCTTTTCATATCTGCACATGTTTCTGTCTTTTGATACTCTAATTTTGGGGAAATTCATTAAAAAAAAAGCTGACCTTGTATTTGTTCTTAAGCACTAAATATTAAGCTTGTGAATGGAAAGATTTTAGTTTTGGGTAAATTAATTGCTGTTAATTTTTCTCCATGAAAATTGCTTATTTCAGCTTCTTAGAAATTCCAAATTCAATTGGAGTCTGATATTTTCTCCTTCAACAAGCAGAGTTGAATTAAGAATAAGATAGAGTAACAACAGGGAATGCGTCAAAATTAGGAAATGTGCCTAATTGATTAGAATGTTAAATTTCCAGTCAGGAAGACCCGATTTTAAATCCATCCCACCTCTATGTGGCCATGGCCAAATTACTTAAACTTTCGGAGCCTCAGTTTATTCATCTTTAAAATGAGTGTGGCCATTTAGGCTAAGACCTTTATAGTCTTAATGAAATGACTTTATGTCCAAGGAGGTTTAGCTACAAACTCATCTGTTTGTTGTGCTTTGGCCAATCTCTTCAGGAAGAGTTCCATGGCAAATAAATGCCACCTAATAGTCCCTTTCTAAGTCCTGACTCCTCCCATCTTGGCCCACATCAACAGTATCCTTCAGTTATGGTGTTGATGTCCTTTGGCAGGAGATTCAGTTTCATTGCCAGTGGCCAGAGCCCAGAACCCAGAGGAATAGTCCAAGACCAGCCACAGCCTAGCAGTAGGTGAGCCAGTGACTCTAGTCAGGCCACCAATATAAGAGGCAAGAGGCCTTGCTCTTCAGGGTAAGGATACGGCTAGGTCTACTTCCTATATAGATGCTCAAACAAAACATTCAAACCCAAATGAAGACTTAACAATGAAATCTTAAATAATAAGTGGTCCAAAGAACAGATCACAGAAACAGTAACTGAAAGAAAATCATTATAATGATGAAACAGCTTATCAAAATTTCTGTAGTCCTCAGGGGGAAAATTACATCTTTACAATCACATATTAACAAAAGAAAAAGAGAATATTAATGAATATGCATTTAAAAAATTAGAGAATCAACAAATTAGAAATTTGTGATTATAAATCAGATTTTTATCCCACAATGCCTGAAACCTTACCAATTTAGTTGACTATTTCACTGCTAATTTATTTTGGAAAGTGCTAGATAACTGGGAAGAAATCAGGTAGAATGGGCAGTTTTCTTCCCCCCAAGAAAATCTAAAGGAAAGAAAAGAATGATTTTCCCTCTTTGCGTTATATTGATTGGCTGGTCAAGTTTGCTTCTGGCACCTTCAGGTCAAGATTTTTGGCGTGTAGCTTTTCAGGAAGGCACCAGTTTTATAAAACTTTATCACAGGTTTTTCCTTTCCTATTAATTTTCACAAAAATAACAGTTTCCTCTTTTTTTGCATAAAAATTTAAAAAAAACATAAAACAAACCTAGTTTACCTAATCTTGTCAGGTGAATTTATTTTGGCAGTAAAAAATTTCTTACACATGTATTTTCTAAAAACACATATACAGTTTCTCAATACACACACAATATATACATTTTATATAAATACACACACACACACACACACACACACACATCTATGTTACTATGATGTCCCTGGGTATTTATTTTTATCAAAAGCTATGACTTTATTCAGCACTGTGTTGAAGTGGTTTATAAAAGCTGTCTCAGAGAGTCTCAGTTGAAACTTTTTAGATGTTGGTGAATAAGGTATATTGTCTGGGTAGCCTGTGAAAGGCTGACTTTTGTGACTTCTAGAGCAAAATTTTGATCATATGACATAAGATACTGTTGACAGTTATAAATCACGTTTTGTAGACTTTAATGAAAGATTTGTTGGTAATGCATGTGTCAGTAGTATTAGTGACATTTTATTTTTTAATGTAAAATTATAATGGTACTTTTTTTTGCTTTATTTTTTTAAATTTTTTAACATTTTTATTTGAAGTTTTGAATTCCAAATTCTGTCCTTCCCTCCCTGAAACAGTAAGTGATCAGATATAGGTTACACATGTGCAGTTATGTAAACAATTTTGATATTACTCATTTTGTACAATAAGACTCGGAAGAAAAAAATGAAAGAAAGAAAATGAAAAATACATGCTTCAGTCAACATGCTTCAGCATTAGTCCTTTGGGATTGTCTTGGATCATTGGCTAAGTCATTCACAGTTCTTCATCAAACAATATTGCTGTTACTGTGTACAATGTTCTCCTGGTTCTGTTTACTTCACTATGTATCAGTTCATGTAAGTCTTTCCAGGTTTTTCTGAAAATCATCTTGCTTGTCATTTCTTATTGCACAATAATATTCCATCACGATCATATACCACAGCTTGTTTAGCCATTCCCTAGTTGATGGGCATCCCTTTGATTTCCAGTTCTTAGCCGCCACCCCCCCACACACACATACACAAGCTGCTATACACATTTTTGTACAAATAAATCCTTTTCTCTTTTTTGGGATGTCTTTGGGATACAGACCTAATAGTGGTATTTCTGGATCAAAGGGTATGCACAGTTTAATAACCCATTGGGCGTAGTCCTGAATTGCTCTCCAGAATGGTTGGATTAGTTCACAGCTCCACCAACAGTGCATTAGTGTCCCAGTTTTCCCGCATCCCCTCCAACATCCAGCATTTTCCTTTTTTGTCATTTTAGCCAATCTGATAGGTGTGAGGTTGTTTTAATTTGCACTTCTCTAATCAGTAATGATTTGGTAATTCTATCTTTAAGAGTAGAGTTAGGGCAGATTTAATTTAAATCTGAATACATTCAGTCATGATTTAAATCATAAGTCACAAAATAGGAAAATTCTCTTTACTCATTTTTCATTATTAAAATGCATTGTTTGTTTTGAAGTGACTTTAGGTTTGTCTTTTTATGTCCTATCAAAACAGCGGCTGCTAGACCCAGAAATATAGCCACCAAGACACCTAGAATATTCTTCTCCAGCCTTGTGGTCTTACTTTCTTCCCTCTCTCTTCCTCCATTCTTGAAATCTTATACTTTTAATGAGCAGCAAAGGTTTGTCTTTGAAAACACTAATCCACCAGTTAAGAGCTTTCTCTTAGGTGGAATAGGCTCTTCCAGACGGACTAAGCACTGACTCCCATTGGTTTCTTTGACTTTCTGTAATCTTTCTAAGTTTCTCCAGAGGAGAGTCTGACGTGAGACCAGGCCCCTGCGGCTTTTTTGTGTTTTATACACTTTGCATTTAAAAATGAGCATCTATTTTAAAAAATATATCATTGGAAATTAGAATTTTTATGGCAGTGATTTCTTTGAACTTCAACAAATCTGACACTGACCCGTAGTTTTATAAGCATTTGTATTTGACAGAAAGTATTTCTAATGCCTTCCTGAAGGTAAAGCTTCAATAGAGTTTCCTTCGAAATGTGCTGGTCAAGAGTTTTCATTCTGGCCCTGGTGCAATTCCTGTTGCCGCCACATTTCTGTATTCCAGCTATTTCTCTTGCTTGTTTTCATGCAGTAAATTTCTGTTGGTAAGATTGTTCTTAACTAGAACTTGGCAGAAGATGTTGAAAGTAATTTGGGGATGTTGGACTTCAAGTTTTGACAGCAGTTACATACTCATGGAGCCTGTCATATTTTTCTTTACCTCTTCTTTATACAGCAGGAAGTCATTTATGCTAATTTACTCTTATTTGCATATAGGTTATAGAGTTCTGTGGTGAAAAGCAAGCTCAGAACTCCTTTTAAGTGTCTGTTTAGATCA